TCCGAGCTATTACCATCAAGCCATCTATGGCCGAGGCCCATGCCAATTTAGCTTCAGCTTACAAGGACAGGTAGATGATAATATATGTTTCAGTTTAGTTGAATATTGCCACTCTTCTCTATGAGTGTGTGTGTGTATGTGGGATTAATTATATTAATTTTCTTTAAATCTTATGTTTTGGTTTGGAAACATGTAGTGGCAATGTGGAAGTGGCCATAAAAAGCTATAGACAGGCATTGATTCTACGGCCTGACTTCCCAGAAGCAACTTGCAATCTACTTCACACATTACAGGTGTGCATAATTTTTATTTTATTTTATTTTTTATTTTAAATATCAATGAAGTTTCTTTGCTCAGGGAGTGAGCACTTCATTAGTTAGTCATGTCCACCAGTTTTATGCAATGGCTAACCCAAAACACTATACCAAAAAGGGGCATTTCTATAATTATCTTTATGCACTCAAGTTAGACCTGCAACATGCCTGTTTACACAGTTTTCTGTTTTCAGTTTTGAAAACATGTTTACAAGCACCCATTTTCTACATTCATTATACAAACTTAAGTTTTTGAGACTATAACGCTATAAAATTAATCACGAATTCAAAATTTTGAGTAATTTTTTAGAACATGATATTCAAAATATTTTCGGATATGTTTGGTTGGAGTGAAATATATAAAAAAAAATTTCTTTCAAGTCTATTATATGTGAAATTTTAACATACAATATCCGAACCAAATTTATGTATAGAATATGGATATAACATAACTAAAAATATCTAAACCAATCAATAACTTATGAGGTTCACTCAAACTCTAAAAATGAAATTTTGAGTTTTAATTAAGATAATATGAATAATGTCTAACCCTAAGTGCATGTATGTACGATATGTTGGTACAAATAGATGGAGACTAGAGAAGACAGATGATAGTGGGTCAAGTAAGAGAAGATGGTAATGAATATAGGCATAGTGGTGGGTCGATATGTAAGTAAATAAGGATGGGGGTGGGGTAGGTAGGTGGTGGTAGGAGTAGCCGAGTATATAGGTAGGTAGGTGTAGCAGTGAGTAGGTGGGGGGTAGGAGTAGATAGATAGGTGAAGTAGAAGTTCGTAGGTAATGAAAATGGTGATTATAGATGAAATTATTTATGTTTTATCAAAACTGAAAAACTATGCAAGGAAATATGTTTTTTGTTTTCCATTCTCCAATTTTTCATTTTTCCGAAAAAAAAAAGAAAAAAGAAAATTTCTCCAATTAATAAACGGACTCTAAAAGTTTTATTTGCATGTTTGATGTTCATGAATTGACTTTTTCTACTAGAATAATAAATGGAGTCATGGAGAGAATACAGATGTCTCAATACTATTAGGGGGATGTGAAAATGATTTTCCATTTGGGTTCTGTTTTGTCTACATATTTACTTCATTTGAATTTTTACTTTACAGTGCGTTTGTGACTGGGATAATCGGGAACAGATGTTCATTGAAGTTGAAGAAATACTTCAAAGGCAGATTAAGGTCTCTACACAACCTGCTTTGTCTTTCACTGGTCCTGTTGCAAACAGTTGATAATCAATATATTTTAACTTTACAAATTACAATTTTCCCTAACTATGTTTAGTCTTACATCTTGTTCATCCCATAGATGTCAGTTTTACCCAGTGTGCAGCCTTTCCATGCAATTGCCTATCCTCTTGACCCAATGCTTGCTCTGGATATCAGGTGGTCCTTTTATATTTACCACTTGGTAATAAATAGTGTTATGAATTTTTAATTTAACGGATTGTTTTTGCTTTTGAAGTCGAAAATATGCTCAGCATTGCTCTGTGATTGCTTCCCGCTATTCACTTCCTTCTTTCAATCACCCTCCTTCACTACCCATTAAGGGAGGTAGTGGGAATGTTCGATTGAGGGTTGGGTATGTTTCTAAAAGCATATTACTGTATCCTTACTCATATGCTTTTAAAGCACTATATAGTGAAAGGATTTGAATATACAAGACTTGTATATAGCTTCTTATTTTGCCATTCAGGTATGTGAGCAGTGATTTTGGAAATCATCCGCTGTCGCATCTTATGGGTTCCGTCTTTGGAATGCATGACAAAGAAAATGTTGAGGTTCGTAAAAGTAGTAGCACATGTAATGACGAGGCAGATTAAGATTCTAGGTCTCTGAATCACACTAGGGAGCTAACATCGTTTCATTCGTAGGTTTTCTGCTATGCTTTAAGTCCTAATGATGGAACTGAATGGAGGTTGCGCATCCACTCAGAAGCTGAGCATTTTAAAGATGTATCATCCATGTCATCTGATATGATTGCAAGGATGATTAATGAAGACCAAATACAGATTCTTATAAATCTTAATGGTTATACCAAGGTGATAAAATGTTGCCAATTGTTTCTTTGCTTGGCTTTTACTGTGCCTCTTATTTGTGTGTCTAATTGTCTATATGTTAGTCTTTTCATATTTCCACTTGTGAAGATCTATCATCTTTAAATTAGATGCCTATTACCATATGTTTAATTTGTGAAGATGCCTGGTAATTTTATGTCAGTTTTTTTTGTCAGTCTGTTAAACCTTGACCTACTTAAAACAATACTCTGCAGGGGGCTAGAAATGAGATATTTGCCATGCAGCCTGCTCCAATCCAGGTTTCATACATGGGTTTCCCTGGAACTACAGGTGCAACATATATACATTATTTGGTCACTGATGAGGTATTACTGCAATTGCATTAGCTAATTCTTTGTTAGGCTGCTTAGGTTTTTCTGTAATTCCATTTTTATTTTTTTTGTTATATGCTTTACTTTGTGTGTTTTGATGTTTCTATTTTATTTTGACCTTGGTAGTTTGTTTCGCCTACACGATACTCACATATTTACTCTGAGAAGCTTGTCCATCTCCCTCATTGTTATTTTGTAAATGATTATAAGCAGGTAAATTGCTTATCCTGATTTCTGACCTTGCATGTTTTTGGAGAATTGTGTTCGTTATATTCTTTATGCATTGATTATCTCTTTTTACAATTTCATAGAAAAATTGTGATGTACTAGATCCAGACTGCCTACCCAAACGCTCAGATTATGGCCTTCCAGAGGATAAATTTATATTCGCTTGTTTCAATCAGCTCTACAAGATGGATCCAGAGATTTGTACAACTTGGTAATTTGGGATGGATCATTAACCGAGATGTCTAGTATTAGCTCACTTTTTGATGAATGCCTCCCTTAAAATAAAAAGTGCTGTACTGATGTTGCAGGTGCAACATTCTCAAGCGTGTACCAAACAGTGCACTTTGGCTCCTCAGATTTCCAGCTGCGGGTGAACTGAGGCTTCGTGCATGTATGTGATTAAATAAATTACTTGTATTGTGAGAAAGGTGGGGATAATCAATGATGTGGTTGACTTCTTCAACTAATTGAAACATTCGTTTACAGATGCTGCTGCACAAGGTGTACAACCAGACCAAATAATTTTCACCGATGTTGCTATGAAACAGGAGCATATTAGACGCAGTTCATTGGCAGATTTATTTCTTGACACGTATGAAATTCCCTTAACCTTTTGGCATCAAGTTTATACATTATCTACATGGGCATTGAACTCTATTTTTACACTGGATAGGCCATTGTGCAATGCGCACACAACTGGAACAGATGTTCTTTGGGCTGGGCTACCAATGGTGACACTACCCCTTGAGAAAATGGCTACACGAGTTGCTGGTTCCCTGTGTTTGGCCACAGGACTAGGGGATGAGATGATTGTCAACAAGTGGGTATTTTAAACCGCTCGATTATTTTTTTTTCTGCTAATGATTCTATGCATCATATTAACTTTTAGAATGATCTATTGTCATAATCCTACTCATCCCTCAGTTACTTCTAATTGAGGTTTCATCTGGAATTCCATTAGTAAACAATATTCTTGTCTGTCAAGCAATATGCGAAAGGGTATCTGAAATCCATGTCTCACAACTCTCTAATCTCTGTGTTGCATGACTATAATAGTGCAGTTACAACAAAGTATATAGTGTTACCTTCATTTATATATTTTTGTGTCTTTTTTAGTGTTGAAATTAATCTGCTTGCTGCTGATCCACTTATCCACATTTGTGAACGGTGTGTTTATTTACTCTGACAATGCAGTATGAAGGAGTACGAGGAGAAGGCAGTATCGCTGGCACTTGATCGCCCAAAACTACAGGATCTCACCAATAGACTAAAGGCTGCACGCATCACTTGCCCTCTGTTTGATACAGAACGCTGGGTGAGGAATCTGGAGCGGGCTTATTTTAAGATGTGGAATCTGTACTGTTCCGGCCAACATCCTCTGCCCTTCAAAGTTATAGAGAATGATAAGGAATTCCCGTATGACCGTTAGATGTGTAGTAAAATATACTGAGGCTGTAGATGTAACAAACAAGAATGTAAAGAGTTACTTATTATGGTCTAGATATGTTGTCAGTCACGTTGATTATGATAGTATATATTCATCTATCAACATGGGCCAAAATCCTCCATCAATGAGTTCTATCTATTTAGTATTTACACTGAGAGCATCTGAGCAAGTTAACAAGTTGCCTTTGAAGTGAGCCTAAGTAGGCCTGAGCTCTATTGATAGCACAGGGTGGTGTGTAGTTGATGCTCTCTCTCTCTCTCTCTCTCTCTCTTTTTGCAGAATAGTTGGATTGTTTCACCATATTTCCAGCTGCTGCTTTGAAGGCTTTGGTGGTTTAGTTGATGTGGTTGGGGATCACTTTAAGCTATTCTGCAAGAAAAGTTGGTGACAGGTGGAATTACTCCTCTCTCCTACCTTTATATGTGCTACTCACAAGCTCTGCATATGTGTGTAGTTTTTGCTTACAGGAGAAGTACTTGAAGGTGGCTTACAACTTCTCAAATGAAATTCCTAAAGCCGCCATTACCAGGTCGCCACCATCTCTTATTCTTAGTTCATTTTTCAAGAAAATAACATGAATATAAAATTTAAAGCATAAGAGATGGAGAATTAACAACGTAAAATTAAATTAAATTCAGGGCTAAATCTGATATATGACACATAATTCACAGACACTGTCTTCAAATAGCAGATCATCAAAATTTAGGGTTTTATGCATTATTTTATAGCAAAACACAGTACAACAACTATTTTGCATTTTGTATTTGATAATTACGACGGAAGTGGTGCTGCTTTACTTTGACGGAGTAGCGGGTGCAAAGGAGAGCAACTCCTTAGATTTGGCCCAGGGCTTGACAACCACTACGGCGTCGAAAGTGTTGGCTTCTCCGCCGGCGGTGGAGGCGGAGATGCGGAGGTAGTACTTGATTCCGTTCACCACCTGCTTCTCCGCCTTCACCACCTCCGAGAAGCTCAACAACTTCCCGGTACCCTGCTTTTTCTGCTTGAGGCCACTGTTATACTCCTCCACACAGTACTTCCCCAGCTGTTGAATCTCCTTGTTGGTCTTCACATCCTCGATCTCTGTTCTCCCGCCTACCTTCCTTCCTAGGGCGTTCACTTGGGCGCACCACAAGGCTATGGCCAGAAGGGAAAGGAGAAGGAAGAGGTTGAGTGTAGTTTTCGCCATTTTAGTTGAGAGAGAGAAAAGTGGTGGTATCTTTGGATGTGGTAACGATGGGGGGGAAGAGGGGTATATATAGTGGGGGGTTGGATGTATCATGTATGCGTGTTGCGTGGGCGCGGGGAATAAGAGATTAACAGCTTAGGTGTACGAGTTACAGTGGGAGTGACGCGGCTTTTGTTTGAGCTAAGAAGCAAATCAAAGAAGTGCTAATTATGGTTAAGATTTGGCAATCATACAAATTTATTGTGATTTTGACTTCACATTAACGCAATAGACTCGCTTGGGCTTTGGAGTAGTTGCTCCGAAGGAAAATGATTAGTCTAGAATCTATAGGAGACTTGGAGTATATTCGCTTTTCCCCTTTTCATTTCATTGAAGGACTAAAATGAAAAATAAATCTCTATCTCTATATCTCTATATATAATATAGCAGAATTAAAGTGAAAATTTTTTCCCTCCATTTGATGCATTTGAGAGTTATGGAATGTCAAGGGTTTAGAAACTTCATAATCATCATAAATCTCTCTCTCTCTATATATATATATATATATATATATATATATATATATATATATATATATATATATATATATAGTGAAAGGTTCCCGTGCGGATGTACGGTGGATTAATGTGCGTGAGATTTGTACTCAATGTGTGTGAGTGTTGTGCTTAATGTGCCTGAGATTTGTACTTAATGTGCGTGAATGTGTAAAATGCAGCAGAAATTATTGATGTCAGCTTCTTTCCCATCCCCAGTAGTCATTGCCCCCTCCCTAATGATGATGCGGAGGCGGGCTATGGTGGTTAAGAATTATGGGGGAATAATACAACAGAAATCCACACTTAGCTGCTGTTCAAATTTTACTGTGCGTGCGTCATCTATTTAAACATTCAACTGCACTGAAGGTAGCTGATAATCCAAAATCCTTGGCCAAATTGAAGGAAGAAGTAACAAGAAGATTGGCGTTAATGTGCGTGAGTTTCTGTTCTGATTCCTTCTGAGCTCGTAATTCTGAAATACTCACGCACATTAAGCACAAATCTCACGCACATTAAACACAATACTCGGGCACATTAAGTACAAAACTCACGCATATTTACATGATGCACATTAAGTACAAATCTCAGGCACATTGAGTACAAATCTCACGCACATTAAGTATAAACCTCACGCACATTAATCCTCCACACAACCGCACGAGAAGCCACAAATGCACCTGATCCCTTCCACACACACACACACACACACACACACACACACACACACACACACACACACACACACACACACACACACACACACACACACACACACACACACCACACACACACACACACACACACACACACACACACACACACACACACACACACACACACACACACACACACACACACACACACACACACACACACACACACACACACCACACACACACACACACACACACACACACACACACACACACACACACACACACACACACACACACACACACACACACACACACACACACACACACACCACACACACACACACACACACACACACACACACACACACACACACACACACACACACACACCACACACACACACACACACACACACACACAGATATATATATATATATATATATATATACTACTTTTTAATAGTTTGTAATTTTGATTAGTTTTTTAATAATTTATTTACAAAGAAAGTTAGGTAAAGTAAAATTAAGTAGCTTTAGGGAAAAAATTTTCCCGCCTAAGTGTGAATGTATATTAATAGATTTGTAAGATCATTATTTTTTTTTGTGTGTAAACCACGAGGTGGTCCGGGTCTTTCTCTGTCCGTTTAACTTTGTAAGATTATTACTGCAAATGAGGTTAGCAATATGAAGCATTTTTTGTCATATATTGTCTTAACATTTAAATATTACAATGTATAACTATACTTACATTTTTTAATAAAATTAATTCTGCTTTGAATTATAACATTACAACAATACTTATAAATTTTTGTCCGGCAAATACTAGTAAAATATTATGGCCTGGTCTTGCTTTGGTATATAAATATATATATCACAAGAATATATGAAATTGTCGACGCATTGATCTTATTGGTTTAAGTCAGTTAGTTATGAGCATAGGTGAAAAATTTGTTAGGCGCTTAGAATGTCTATGTGGGGATTAATTGGTGCCTAGGTGCCTGTGTATTTTTTTAAATATATGTTTAAATTTTTTAAGACTTGATAATTATAAAGTATTTAATACTTTAATAGTTAATACTGAAATATTAAATATTAACTTAAAAACATCTAGGGTCCGTTTACTAACAGAAAACTATTATCTGTTTTCTAATTTTTCAGTTTTCATTCTCTGTTATCCATTCTCTGTTTTCACCTAAAATTTAGTTTAGATAATATTAATATTTTTTGAGCTAATATTTAAAATATTTTTTTTTGGATATATTCATTTGAATGACATGTATACGAGTATTTAACTTTTGCTTCTAAATTCTAAATATATTCATTTGTAATAATGCTAGTCTAAATACCATGGTTGCAAAAATCGCGCCTAGGCGCCCGGCCGCCGCCGCGAAGAAGGCCGGAATCGGCCTCCTCAGCGGCCGGCCGGCTAGGCGGCTGCCTAGACCGCCTAGCCGGCTTAACCGGCGTTGAATTTTATTTTATTTTATTATTATTATTATTATTATTTTTTGCGTTGTAAACAATCTTTTGAACACTTTTACAACCACTTACGTAAATAGTTTGTAAGAAATAACTATGGAAACCTTATGTTTTATTACTAAATTTTGAAAATTTTAATTTTTAATTTTATTTTTAATTAAAAAAATAAAAAAATAAAATAATAAATAAAAAATCGGCGCCTAGGGGCGCCTAACATTTTTTGCAACATTGCTAAATACTTAGTCTAAAAACGATAGTCTAAATAAATACTATTTTTGATTTAAATTTCTTTAATTCTTTTTTTGGGTAGCACTGTCATTGTGTTTATCTTCAGTACATGTCCTCTTTTTATTTATTTATTTGTAGTGTGTCATGTGCAATTGGGTTACTGGTGGTAGTATAGATGGAGTCATCGTGCAATGAGATTATGGTGTAGGAAGCTTTAGATTTGCCTTGTTGTGTATATGATGGGATCTTAGTTGTACTATTAACTCTTTATCTTACAAGCACCTATTGATATTTGATAGTGGTAGATTTTCCCTACATGTTCCATGCGTTGTGAGATGTGTGTCGTAGGTTATCATGTAAAAGTATTGAACAAATTAAATATTAATATTTATTATATTTGTATAAAATACTTGGTAAATAAATATATATAACATATTTTGTATTATAACTTTGAAATTTAATTACAAGATAACGTAAAAAAAAAAAAAAAAGACAATGGACATTGTAGTGAATATAATAAATTAATAAATTTGAAGGTAATGAATCTTTGAATTGTAGAAAATAAAGATAATATAACTAATGAAATTATATATCTTTTTAAATTTTTTATAATGAATAATTTTTTTTTTAAATAAAGGCATTATAAACATCTAAATCTAAATTAATTAAATGCATATGTATTATTTTTGGTTGTAGCTACTAATTTATTTAATTTAATAAGAGTAAAAGTGGCATGCATACTTTTTAAAACTAACTTCCATTAGATATATCTTAAAAGATATATCAGGCATGAGAAATAATTAAGTTTGAATCTTATTTTCACAAGATATGTATCTTCGTAGGTTGTGCACAGCATGCGAATTTGTAAAGAAAAAAAAAAAAAAAATATATATATATATATATATATATATATATATATATATATATATTACATTTATTAATTTAATACATGTTGATTACCATGCAAAAAATAACATAATAAATAAATAATATATGTATTCATTTTCCATTCGCATGCAACCAACGAAACAAATGACTCTGCAAGGCCACTAAATGACGAAACGTCATATTGCATTGTATGCAATAATAATTTGTTTCTTTCAGTTTCTTTCGTTGATACAACGAAACAGCATCCAAATATCACTTAACACGAACCATGCAACCTGAATCCATTTTTTTCTTAATAACGATTTTATTCATCAATTCGTGTTTAACGAATTTTGCATCAAACTCGTAATTAACGAAAAGCTTCGATTCAATATCATCGAAATGATATATACATTAATTCGTTAAGAACCAACGATTCGTTAACACCAACGAATTATTAAACTTCGATTCCAAATCATATTTCCCAATTTACTTTCTACCAAACTAAAATAATATTTATAACTCCACAACTCCAAATATTATTTAAGCTTTCATGGTAATCCATTTGAATAATTAATTTCCATTACTATATAAATTTCCAACACTCCTCCATTTATATAGTAAAAATTAACATTGTACCAAGACAGATCCAAAACTCATGCATAAATGAAAGTGTCTTAGAGATTGAACTTTCACATAGTGTTATATGTGTTACATTAATTCGGATTGCAGTGATGGACGAACCTTGAATCACGCAGTCTCTTTGAAGAAACGTAGATATAACACACAAGTTTTACAGTCATTACAACTCACTGTAACTTGACACTATTATGGCAATGTGTCCGTATCCATTAATGAGCACGCGTACCAAGTAAAGCCCAAACTTGTTTGAAGCGGCCACACTTCATGCTCACAGAAGCTAATCTTTTATATCATGCACTGCACCTTGCATTTTTTCAAAAGATCAGTTAAGAGTAAAAACTCATCCCTACAACAATGCAGAACCAATCATCACTTTTTCTTGGGATACAATTTTTAATTTAAACTTTTGATGCTTGCAATTACAAAATGAAGTACTCATCTACATTGAACTCAAGGTCTAACGTAACAACTTAGACGTGAGTTGAGCTTTCCTTCACTTGCAATTTAATTTAGGCTTTCCGTATCCCTTCCGATGTCTTTAAAACCATGTCCCTTGCAAGGACTCTTGCAAACGGATCCGTTAAAATAAACCGGGACCGTGCAAAATCCAGTGCTACAACACCATAACTTAGGAGCTCTCGCACATA